ATTGGATGTCTATTTTCTGAGTAGTCTTGTGTTCAGCTTTGTGGATTGTGTGGTTGTTGTCCAATGCCACTACAATGTTATTGAACTAGATGTTAGATTCAGTGGGCGTTCAGCTTTAAGATCAACAGGCTGGATTCGGTAATGATCAGTGGTGCACAGACCGGATCCTGACAATATTAATCATCATTGAACAATCAATTGAATGGAACTCGCCACTATATGACAACGTCCCTGACTATGAGAAGGCTTTTGACAGTTTGGATAAGATGCAAACTTCTATAACACTATGGTATGCCTGGGAAGATCGTAAACATCATCGAGAGTTCTTACGACGGACCACACTGAAGATACGTTCATGGAGGACAGTTGACAGATGCATTCCAAGTGAGAACCAGAGTCAGACAAGGCTGCCAACTCTCGCCTCCCTCCTGGTGGTTAACTGGATTTCGAGGACCTCTATATCTGACGGGAACCACTGAATACAACGGACAACGTGGACTTCACAGACGGCCTGACCTTTCTATTCCATACACATGAACAAATCCAGGTCAAGACAACCAGTTTAGGAGAGGCCTCTGCACCATTAGGCCTCATCATACACAAGTGAAATAGTAACATCCTCAAATACGACACAGTACACTAACCAAATCACACTTGGTGGATAAGCTCTGGAAGAGGTGGAGACTTCCAAGTACATGGACTGCATTACTGATGAACAAGGCGGATCTGATGCGAATGTAAGGGGCGAGGATTGGCAAAGCAATGGCAGTATATCAACAATTGAAGAACATATGGAACTCAAAACAATTGTCAAACAATATCAAAGTCAGAATCTTCGGTACGGACATCAAGGCAGTTCTACTGTGTGGAGCTGAAACTTGGAAAACTTTAGTGCTGGTGAGTACTCCCCAGTCTATTGGTAGAACAAAACCCGGAGCGAGGTTACCTTTCCAAACATACAAGGGCTTTCAAAAGTCAAATAAACAATAATAGTTGAATTTATCCTCACCCCACTGCACAAGCTAGTAGCTATCAGGACTCAGTAGTAAAGTGAACAACGCGATGGCATTTGAGGCGAACGGTACTTGGTTCGAGTCCCATAGTGAACATCTATTCAGAGATGCAGGTATCTCCGGATGTTGAGTCCCAGGTGGGACGAAACGCGAGGCCTGGACTCCACTACTAGCCAACATCAAGGTAATACCGAGGCACATATACCAATAGGTGAGTGATCAATTTCAGCCGTAAACATCAGTGGTAAGATTCAAATAAACTGGTGTTTTTGGTCAGCTACAAACCAGTCAGCCAAAGTTGATACAGAACTACCACAAACACCACAAAAAAGTACAGGTACTTATAAACAATTGTCTACGCAAGATGCTCAGTGTTCGTTGGCCGCATACCATCATTAACAACCCAATGTGAGGAGCGAATCAACCTCTAGTCGAAGAGGAAATTAGGAAACGATGTTGGAAGTGGATATGATATACATTACAGAAATCATCAAACCACATGACAAAGCAAGCGCTTAACCGGAATTCCTAAGGGAAAAGGAAAAGAGGAAGACCAAAGAACACATGGCGTCGAGGATTGAGAGCAGACATCAAAATAATGGACAGTGACCGAAAACAACGAAAAGTGATTGCCCAGGACAGAGTCCGATGGAGAATCCTGGTGAGCGGCATATGCTGCTCCACGGGGGGTAGCAGTTGTAAATGAATGACTGAGTAATTAATACTGCCATATCTTGAATTACTGTTAAGTCCTTTCGAAGCCCAGGTCAATTTTTTTGCGTTTTGTAGACCTCCAGATCTGCGCGTCATTTGCATAGACTAGTACCGCTAAGAAAATTTTATCCGTAAGGACATTAAGAGATCAGGAAAGGAAGTGGACTGAATATAGCCCCTGTGAAACTCCTTGCGTTAAGAATTGTCAGTTGTCCTGTACTCTATTCACCTTGGTACGAAACATACTGTTCTCCAGGAGGTTTTGAATCCAGGATAAAAGTGGCTCCGTGAAACCCAGCTTTGTGACTTATTGTGAGTATGTGTGGTACTGCATGGAACACTTTTGCGAAGTCAAACAATATTTCATGGACATGTAGTGATATTGTTTCTAACCATATGATCTTCGAAGCCGAGCATGAGATAACCGAGAAAATTCGTATCCAACAATTAACACGGATAGAAGGTCAGCTACGGTGAACGCGAGAACAGTTCATCGAAATGCCATGACTCGGTTACGTAGGTGCTACGACTATAACCTCTTGCTTTTTTATCAAATATATTACCATATTTTAAGCTCATATATGTTTGTCAGAAATGCTAGTCTTAATATTGCTGGTGGTCAGGAGTCAGTGTATACTATATGACTTTCATATAAGAGCTTATGGAGTAGGTAGCCACGTCATAACAAATCTGCAGTTTGGGGGTTAGGTCTGTAACTATAGTAGTACTAATACCGAAGTAGACCATGATTCTACAAACCTGTGTCGTTTGGCCTCTTCAGGTCGTCTAGCTATCCCATTATATGAGGATGTTGGTCTCGCAGGACCTGTCCTTCCTGAACCGGTGTTGAGTTTCACGGAGGATGATGTTTTTATTCATATATTCCCTCATTTGTTCGTTGAAAAGTCCTCCCGTTACCTTTAACAGCATGGGGGTAATTTGACCAGTCTATAAAAGGCCGAGTCTCTTTTTCCTTTCTTTGGAGATTGGAGAATGGCCTGCTACCATTCTCTTGACGGTTGATGCGAATCTAGTGAGCGTTTGAACAGGTCACGTACTGGCTACTTTTGCCGAATTTGTCGGTGCTTGTTAGGCATCTGTTGTCTTAACAACTTTTTGTTTATTTGCCAAATGTTATAAAGTTGACTAAGGATAGTGTGTGGAGTGGTGTCGCATGAAATTTTCCAGGGTGTTATTTAATAAACGACATTTCCGTGAAAAGTCTTCCAGACTTTGAGAATGACTGTGGATATACCATTTGGAAACTAGGTTAAACAATATAACAAATGTGAATTTTGTGTTGTGTGATATGTGTACCAACTGATAATTACTTTGTACTTGATCGAACTTTCATTACGAACTCAAAATATAGTACATCCAGTTTTGCTTATCTAGTTTTACCTGCATTAAATTGCTTTATATCAGAAATTATTAGTTAGCAAATCAGATTGAATACTTTGATTCATCATAGTTGGTTATAGGAAAGAGCTCAAGGTCAAGGAAAATCATATGGAGCACTTTGATTGAAAAACCCAGTCATTGTTCAGTCGTAGCGATTATGTCACGTTCCACTCAGGATTTCTGGAGGGATTTTCTCAAACTTAGTATTGACGTTTGATTTCAAATACTCTGACAACCAATTATAATTGTTGAGAAATATGGAATTTTGAAAAATCTTCATTTTACAGACATTCTGAGTGAAGGAACTTGAGGGAACTATGAAAATGATCACACGTTTAGTAGCTTACAATCACATTCATTTAATACATAGGTTCTATGAAGAAATATTATAATTATTATCTTATTACTGTCTGATAGTATATCTAATCATCCTGAAGTCAACGATGTGTTGATGGCCATTTGATAGTGAAATATATGGGACTAAGTGTGGTCTTAAGTAAGGGCATCTATATAGATGCGAGCACACTGACTACTTAATTGCAGGCCTTCTAAGATAAATGAATACGGTGCTAACACAGTACTGAGTAAAAGAACACGAACCAAGTCTAAAGGAAAGCTACCTAATAGTATATTGTTATTGAAATAATACAACGTGGGAATAAGTTCGTAAATAAATAACTAGGACAAAGATGTAACCACCAAAAAAGTTTGGATTAACAGTTATTTTACAGGTTATTACTACGTATTCTTCCTGGAACAGGATGGCATGGCAGTAAGTGCAAAATATGGGAAACAATAATCATTTGACACTAATGCTTTTGTCAGTTACTGTACAACTTTAGACAATGGGCAACTAACGCTCCATCTTTTCCAAGTCCAGACATCCCCAAAGAAGAATTAAAGGAGTTAAATATGTAGTTTGCTATGCATCAGATGAACTAATTTACACCCTGAAGTTTTGAAATTAAGTCCGTTGTCATCTGCTCAACTTTGAAGTCCATTAGGATTCACCTGAAACGTCAGCTAATCATCTTTGTTTCGAAGTGATCTCCAAAGTTTTACCACGTTAGCGAAGAAGAAAATTGAGTCATTATAATTATTGTAAGCTTAACGCATGTAATTCACACCAAAACGAATTCTACTGAGAACCAGATATGCTCATTAACAGCCATCGAACTAGATAAAAACCTAAACACAGTCTTACATCTGGAGTCAAAAGAATTTTCCGAAATACAGTACAAAAATATTTAAGTTACACACAGAATGTGTTTTTTCCACACTTTGTACGATTTTCACACCAAATATTGCAAACTGATATCCTTCTTTAGAAAAAGCAAGCGCTCTCAACCCATCGGAATCGTTTTCTATTGAAATATTCAGGATATTTATGATATCAATGAAGGATGAAATTCGATAGCTGTCATTACTATTTCGTCTGTATTCCACCAGGTAGTATCCTTCGATTTAGAGTTCAGAGAGTGAACATCTTAGGGGGTGTATGTAACAATTTTTAAGATAAGCTGGTTTCCAGCACATAAGTCGAGAGTAGTAAAAATCCCATTGAGCGTTCACACATTTCCAAGTTCAGCTATCCTAGTTAAATTGGCTATTCACCGGAAAACAACTAGGTACATTCATTTTGTATTAATAAAAGTGTTTAACTCTTTGGTCTTCATTAAGAGGTATCTACGTACGAATTAATTGATATTGGTTTTGATAAAGTTTTATGTAGGAGCTCCATCGTGTAAGATGAGAATTACTGAGTAAAGTAGTCGGGTTAATTAATCAAAAAGCAGAAACTGAATGGCTGTGGAAACTAATTTTGATTTTTACAGATTGTACAATGTCTCTAGGCCAATGTATGCGAACAAGAAATCCGGTTCAAGTTGGTGGGTTTCCCAAAATTGGACGGTACTCAAGGTTGTGTATCGCGCCAGTGGAATAGTAAGTTTTCGACATGAATAATATCGCCAAACCCCGTGACTCAAAGCCGTTTTTTGAAAAGTTTAGCTTTATCTCATAAGTTTATTGTTATCGAAAAGATAGTTAATCGGTATCTGTAAGTCTACTGATCAGCGATTCGGATTACTAGTTTAGGAGAAATCGGACTACTGTAAACCATAATTTTAATCCATCGTACTGGTTTATAAGCCTTACTTATTCACAGCTAGCAGGTGGTTACAGTAGCGGTTCCCAGAAGCCGTCCATAACTATTCTTGGTTCAGCTTTCGAAGGCCAACTAGAGGGACCCGACCGGTTTCCAAAAACTGCAATATTTGGATGCTCATTCCTTGTGACATTGCACATAACTTTAAATATCCCGTCTGGCTTGATAAAAATGTTGACCGGGAGGGAATCTACCTATCCGAACACACTGGTAAGGACCGTAGTGTTCCTCAATCAACCGACAAAGTGGAGACGTGCCAGTGTCTGCTTTTTCGCCTGTCTAGGGGAAATGGTACTGATTTTCCCCTCTTTGTCGCTTAGTTGTCTACCTTCCGCCTAAATATACGCTAAATTGTCTACTTTCCCCCCAACTTTTAAAACACCATTAGCATAACCCCAAAGGTCTCCTATGTTCGCCTTTATTCCCATAACACAATAGATCTACTTAACAATTCGTCAGTATTTATATATTCCAGGTTACTCGGCTATGTATAATACTAATCATACTCGCACTAGGCTTAAAGATGCTATGTATTCTAAAAGGACGTGTACGTGGTAGGCTAATTACATGTCAGAGTCTACGCTCTTTTATCTTACTGTCACTAATCTACTGGTCGAAAGTATGTATTGAAAGACAAATGTTATCTTACCATTCCCACTACAAAATTAAAACTAGCGTTAAACGATTCCCCACAATAATGTATAAGCCTCATTTAACTATGGTAAGTTGGTGAGCATTCTCAGGGTCGCTTGAACGCCGTTCATAAATCATAGTCTCGTCTTATGGAATGCCACTTTAAAATGCAGAATACCTTCTAAACTGAACTGACCCTGATTTGCAAATGTGAGGAAATCACTGAAATGCGATTGGTACGGTAGAGAACATTATGCATCAACAGGTAAAATAGTCGTTACCAGCAAAAATCTTGAGGTAGTTTTATTAAGTACTTAGGCTTAAAAAAAGAAAACAACCCTCAAAACACAACATAAGCTTTATGTTAAGAGAAGAGGCAAGACTACAAGGCTGAATCCAACAAAGCTCAAATCCTTAAAAGACAGAATTGTCCTCCGTCCACAAAACGTAACGATGGTCAACGTGAAATTAGATGAGAACCGTATGCTCCCACTTGTATCAGGGCAACTTTCCTATTATCAAACTTCCTTCATAAGGTTACAACAAAGGCAGTTCTGCTATCCATACAGCATTAAATAGAGGAATAAACTCCTAAAAATGTAGAGATTTCTGTGATAAAGCAAATAAAACTAGGCAGCACGACAACTATGACCTTCACTGCTACTAATTTTAGATCAAAATACTAGTGGGTAATTAAAACTTGAATTACCTCCGATATGCTAATCACTTTTATTCTTATAAATCCTTTATGCTAGTTGCACCAACTGTCAACTCATTTTGTGGACTATAAGAGTTAAATCAAACCTTTTTTGACTAGTCATACTTAGTTGCAGATCACAACACGTAAAACAGCAATAATATCTAAAGAAATCAAAATAACCATTCAGTTGAGTAGTAACAAATAACTTATATTTTAGATGGCCGAATTATTTTTAGACCCATCTATTCGATCCTGGGTATTCCTTCCTCTTGTAATAATTACTTTCCTCTTTGGGGTTTTACGTCACTACATGACTATCATGTTCACCAGTGAGAAAAAGGGTGAACTTGAGAATATCGGTGATAGGTAAAGCCTTGAGTTCAACTTTTTTACCGTTCCAGTCATGCCTTAATCCGCAGTAGACTTTTACGTGAAAATGGAAGATTCTTGCCCGCAAAAGTAAGATTTGGAAATAGATAGATATTGTAGGCTTTTAAAATGCGCAAGTATTTCTTCAACGATAAGGAGCATGGGTTTTTTAAAACACAAAAGCGAGAAAGTCCAATGAATAATCCAATGGCTGGTAAGTCTCATACATTACAACCAAGTTTCCGACAGACCCCTCAATGGCAACTGAGATGCTAAGAAGCAATGCGCTCAATATGGTTCCAATGATTGTTATCGGCAGCTGGATCAACTGGGCTTTTTCAGGCTTCTTGACGACGAAAGTTCCATTTCCACTCACTTATCGATTTAAGCCCATGCTTCAAAGGGGCTGTGAGTCGCTTACTTCTCTGGATGCATCTTGGTAAATTTTTGTTTAATAGTCGAACCGGTTTTAGGGTTAGCTCTGCATCTTGGTATTTTCTGAACATATTTGGCCTCAGAAGTATGTATGGTTTGGTACTTGGTTCGGACAACGCAGCTGATAACTCGATGATCTTGCCAGATCACCAAGTACCTACACCACAAGCTCCACAGGATATGCAAAAGGCATTCAAGGCGGAATGGGAAGCATTGGAAGTAGTCGACCATCATTGGGCTTTAGCAGACTGTGAAACAAGATTACTGAACAGATTATCTTGATGCGTTTAATTCTTCTTTAAATGTCAATATACTCTGTTTTTCGAAAGTCTTTTTGGAAAAAAGTAATTAGAAGAATCGTATCGTACATAGGTGTATTTCAGGAAGGTGATTAAGAGGGCTAATAATAAAACGTCCACACACATATCTTAAACGCACAAAATCGTGGATAAATGCGTTTATAAAAAATATAATTTACAAGAAAATATTATGTGGTGGTTAATAGCAAATGAACTTGGGATTCAGGCAATAAAATGTTACTGAAAAAGATAAATTAATTCGATACAAAAACTCGAGATCAGATCAACAAAAAATTAAAACAAATCATCCTCGGAAAGTGATTTCAAAAGAATTAAAACAGGATCTCTGCCTCACAAGAGGTATCATCACCTATGAAATAAGAAAATCACAAATTCAAAACATTGATAAGATTAAAAAACTAGAAACAGAATAAGTGATAAACCGTTAGGGTTTTGGAAATCAAAAATGTGTTAACCGATCGGAGACATGTCAAGTTTGGTTCTAGTCGTAATAACACATTAGTCCTCACCTTCTTAATTTAAAGTAACTAGGACCGATCAAGTTCTTAAATGAGGAATTATTTCATGTAGCACTTAAGTTGGTTACATTGCATTTCTTTGTTAACCCTACGAAGCGATTAATTAGTTTTTTTAAATGCCAAACTCGTGGGGTCTGTTTATTCGGTTGACATAGTCTATACCAGTTTTTAGTCAGAAGTATATTCGGCTTTACTGAATAACAGTAGTGATCCTTCAATCTGTGTTATGGACAAAATACATATTTCAAAAGCTTATTTCCTATTCTGGGAAAAAGGATGTCCAGATGAAGTTTGAAGCTGCATTAATAATAGAGCGTAAAGATAACCTCTCATTTTCGTGTTATCTGTAGGGTTTTCGATTCCAATGAAGAATGGCTCACAATGATCGCTAACAATTTACTGCAAATAGTTGGACCTAATTCTCTACATCGGTCTAAATTAAAAACCATTCAGCTTTATTTGTTTTTACGCGTACAAGTTTTTTTATTTTTCATTTCTACCAATTGGGACTTATATGAAGGTATGTAATTCAATCATTAGAATGCTTAAGTAACATGAAATAACAGTCATTATTACGCGAAAAAAATTACATATTTATTTAACTTTTTCCAAATGACATTAATGCACATGTAAGGAATGAATCGAAGTGGGATATCCATGTATGATAAAGAAATGAACTTTTTATTTATTTAAACACATGAACATTGGTACAAAGAGGTACCAAAAATATATGCGCCACACAAATCGAATGATTTGCGTGTGGACTGGGAAACTACTCAGGTGCCCAAACCGAAGCAGGTGGATTTTTTAGGGGGCCACACCCCGAGCCTTTGACCTAGAGGTATAATCCACAAGGCAGTGGAACAACGTCGGAAGATGCAGTCCCATGGTAGCCGGTGACCAACGATTGGTTCATACGCCATTTGTTCCCTCAGGATACTAGAGCACATGTACACCAATTGGTTTGAAATCAAGTTTTTCCTTGAGAAATGAACTTAGTGAAAAGCTTTTATACATGCATTTGACGAAGTAAGCCATACTTTATATTTAACAATGAAGCAAACTGGAACCTTTTAATATACTTACTTTCGTTTTGGAGTCAGTTGAGACGTCGAGTTTGAGCTAGACTGAGACATTGGGATTAGGAGCTTTTGTCTGGCGATTACCGCGCTCATTCTCGAGGATGGGCGTCTTGACAGGGCATCCGAAAGATGTGTACGTTTGTTGGTTTTTAGTCTCGATGAACTTCTTACATTCCTTCTCACAAGCTTTTTGTTAGTAGAATGTGAGGTTCTTCCTGGATTCCTAGTAGACTTCTGGGAATTTTCTGAAATTACTGAGTCTCTTGGTCTTAATGAGACGTTCTGGTCGTTTTTTGTAGATGTAGATGTTTTAATATTCCTTCTAGAGTTTTTATTAGGACGAGGTTGATTTTGCTTTGAATTATTGGGTTGTGGGTTTTTCTTAACCTTAATGTTTACATTCTTACGCGAAAAGACGGAAGATAATCGTTGACTTGCATTCTTTATTTGGTAAAAGGTCTTGTTTGAGGAAATTTCATTAACTTTTACAACAGAATCAAGTGTGGATTGTTTTTTGTTTGAATTTGAGTCTGATAATTTACTAATACGTGGGCGTTTAAGATTTTCTTGTGGAGTTGTTTTTCGACGCTTTTTCCTATTAACAGCTTCTCGGTTAGGGGTAGACGGTCTCACTTCCTGTGTTTCTGTAATATCAGCACAAACTTTAGGATCAGTTTCTGAGGACATGTTATTACTGGTAGATGGTACACAAATGGACATAATCTCCTGTTGTTGATCTATTTTATCTCGGCTGTCTGACAGGGAGTTCTCATTATCGTCGATGCTTCCATATCCTGATAGCTCGTCAATATTATTATTTGATTTAGTCTTAAATTTCACCTCATTTTTCTCCTTTTTCTTATGACTGACTGTTTCTTCTGCTTTTTTCCTACATGAAAAGAAACATTCTGAGTCTCAGGAAAGTTCATAAAAACAATAAAAACGGGATAATTAGTGAGGAAATTGTACACGGTTAACAGGCCCAGTTTAACCAAGTAAACTGTTTGTATGTAACATTAAAAGATGATAAACTAACAACGATAAATTTAGTATCTCATGACTAATTTGACATAACCATAAAGAATTCGACTAAATATTGAAAATCTAAGTAACTGGCCACTCAACAGTATTCATAAACGTTTAGTTTACAGTGCGGAATCTATATACTTGTGCGAACCTGATTTATATTAGTCAGTCCTTGTGATAAGTAATTAATTATTCGTAGAACGGACAAAATCAACAACTTTGGTTTAGAAGGAAGTTTTAATTTAACCATAATCGGATGATAAATGGACTTTCAAGATTCTTAATAAAACTCCTAATTGTGTGAAAAAATTTGGGAGAAAACTATTGTCTTTTGTTCATAACTGTAAAGTTTTACATCTTTTAGCACTGCATACTTTTACCAAATACTAAATTGCTATTGAAGAATCAAATACTCCTATTTCGGCACCGGTTGGGAGATGATTTGAGTTGGCAAAAATATAAGTAACGTAAAACCAGAAGTCAATAACGGGACTATATTGTTGTTCTGGCCATTGCCGATAACCAATATAGTGTAAAAATAGTTAACTAAATACCTTGGCTTTGAAGTATTAACACCTTTGGGTTTTACAAGCTCAGGAGGAATTAATCCCTCTTTAAATGCTTTTGTGTGTTTGTTGGGAGTGAACTGTAAAATTGGTTGGACCTTATTTTTGATGGACATTTCCAAAGGTGGATTTGTAATGCTTGTACCTGTTTGTGCTTCACTTTCTGAACCGATATTTATCAGTTGCTTAAAATCAGGATTGCGAAAATCACTTGGTGCAGAGGTAAAAAGAGTTTTAGGTAGCTTGACATCCACCGGATACTCTTTAATTGTCGGATTAATGCAACGTGATAATAAAAGACCCAAAGAAATATCGCATACAGTATACAGTTTCTGTTGAGTAAACAATAAAAAAGGGGAAAAATACAACAGTAAAGTAATATCAGTTGTCAAGTTACAAGTTTCGACTTCTTTATATATCTAATATAATTGTTAACACAGCAAAAAACCACACAATTCCAGTCATTTATCAACAGCTAGAGGAAGGTATAGTCGAATCTTAATTGAGTATGCAGTTTCAAGTGTGGCAATTTTTTTCACACAAGGCTATAGGGGTGTCCAATTGATAAACGTATTTTAAATACTTATGCATGGATATTTAGTTCGAGTTTCAAAATGAAAACTAATTCATAATCAAAATTAAATAGAATACAACACGTGTGATTGACTTTACTGTTGGTCATCAAATATATAGTGAAGGTAACGTTCAAAAAGCATGAGTATGCTAACAGATTGATAAATTAAATCAGATACGGAAAACACTAAGTTTTAGTGGAGATTTTCCAACAATAACTCCGATCTATTACTATCGCGTGAATAATTTAACATTGAATTGATAAAGAGCGGGTTGATAATAGTTGGATTTACAATAAATCGTACAAGATTATGAATATACTATTAATCGTATTCCAAATTTACGTTAACTCGATAATCCAGAAACTGGAGAAAAAACTAACAGTATACAATTGTTATGGATACAAACGTTAAACGAGGTAAGGTGAAGGCCATATGCAAGTGCAATGGCTCCGGAAAACGTTTCCATTTGAGATCGGTAAGTTCTAAGCTGATCATACGTTTGAATACTAAACTAATGGTCAGTTTTCACTTGATATTCAAATTGGATGGAAACAAGAGGCTTATAATAATACATATATTTACTTTACAAAAACATTATATATTGATTAAGAGGAATGCAACACTTTCATACACACGATTAGAAGATGCGACAGGGGCGTTAATAATATTCTCAGTGCTGTAAACAGCACAAAAGAAAACTAAAAGCTGCCTACACCAAGGTCTACTTTCCAATATTTGCCATTTTATTATTGTTCAGCGAGTTAGTCCTAACTGTGATTACCATCTTGGCGTGATGATCTATCGTGGTGATCCAATCGAACTATATTTCCTAGGACATTCATTTACTTAGGTCCTAAAATGTCAGCCAGTTCTGTTGGAGGAACGTAAGAATAGACGCAGCAGCTTGAGGTACAACAGAGAAGTACTGTTAATTGCACAGAGCGTGATAGCAGCAAGGCAGTTTTCCCTTCATGTAATCAGCATCTACAGAGATGTTGCATCCTCACAAAGGGAAGGAAAGGCTATGAAATGTTGATCCTGAAAATGTCACGAGTTAATGCGCCACTGACACATTTCATTTGGTCACTGAAAACATCCTGGTGACACGTTTCCTAAATCCCTTTAGATCCAGACTAATGCTGAGACTGACACGAAATTTGAATGCACCCTATATACGTTTAAAATCTTCCTAATTGCATGATAAAAATATCTAAAAACCACTAATTCAATTGCGGACGATATTTCCATTAGGAACTAATGACAGAATATTTATCCAATAAACTGAATGAAGCAACGAACAATCAACAGTTCTGGTGTGGACAAGTACTGTTTCTACACTTTAGGCTAATTCTAAACAAACGCAAGGTGAATATCAAAAGTCGTTTTCCTCACTGTTTATATATAATCAATAGAAAACGTCGTCTAGCATCAAATTTATAGCATAAAAATTACCCTGGAAAAAAGTACGAAATTAACTGCATAATAACAGAAAACTAGTTTTAATATTGGGCAAATTATTAGCCGAATACAAAAAGATATTTTTCTTAAGTGAAGAGTGAATTGACGAGCCAAAAAAGAAAACAAAATATAAAACATCACCTCGTTAACTAAAGTATCATCAGGATGAAGGGCATCTCGTGCGTATTTAATTTTTTCAATAATCTTTCGTAAAAAACTGAAATTTTCACCATGAGACATAATCGGTTCCATTATGAACCATAAAGCACTAGATAACATAAGTAAACAATAAGAAAAAAAATTTTTTAAAACAATTTATTACCTCCAAGGTATGTTGACTATTCATAATTTCATTATAAATGAATATTACTGATACACTAGTTTTAGGTTAATTTAATACAAAAAAAACACACCTTTTGATTTTATTAAGTATTTCTACATCATCTAGTTTTGTCCATTTGGAATCATGAGAGAGTAAGTAAATCACGTACGGTAATACGTAATCAGGTAACAGACCAAATAAAAACTCTGTAGGGATTATAAAAATAATTAACTTATTAAAGATACTGTTATACATAAAAACTATTCATAACATCATATAAAGTCAGTAGAACATAAAAACATTATTATCAATTACAAACAACCAATTCTATTTTGTCTAAGCACAATGTGGTTATAACAGTATCAATCTATTACAACTATGTTCAGGCACTCTCCTAGTCCTGGAAACCACCAACTCTAAGTATGAAGAGAAACTGTTTTAACCTAGCAACCTGCAATAATGGTCACAAACAGATCACATAACTACTACTCATCGATCAAAAGGGTCAATAAGAGAATAATGCTGCTTTTGGAGTACGTACCTCACAGATGGAACAATATTAGACAAAACTTCGATTTATAAAATTTCAGATGAAAACTATATGTAAAAGAAATAAACTACAAGAACGAAGATACAATTAACTAACAGATTATTTACCACTCATTTTAAGTACACACGTCTTAGGGGATAGAAGATTATTAAAATATCAACACACGTGAAATCAAAATAAGGAAACAGTAATATGTCTATTTTAAAGCACAATAAAAATCTCCTGTAAGCTATTGATGTATTTTGGTCCTTTATGTATTTATTATCTTAATTCCCTTTAGATTATAACAATGATCGTTGATCTCATAAACAGTTTGTCCTAAATAACTCGATTAGGTAGTTAACTGCATACGAATTGAAGTTCAATCACAACTCTGCTCTTATTTCATTAAAACTATTCTCTTAAAAAGTGATATATAAGTAACTTTTTTGACCAAAATTGTGCATATCTATTTTACGGCTGAGAGATAAACTAGATCCTTGGGATTTAACTACAAGTGGAAAGGCTTAGGATTTCAGATTAGTTTGCTCTAAACATTGTATCTGCTTAATTTTTAGCAGTGTACTGTGTTATTTTGTGACACCTCTAAGACGGAAGTTACATGTGGATAATCAATAGAATTATCAAGAGCTTATTTGGTTGGCTTGAGGAGTTATTTAGTTATGAGAAAATTTAGTGCGAACCATTCAAGGGTTCAAAGGTAGATTGTCCTATCGCATAATCACATTACTTTTTCTGTATGCAACTCTTGAAATATGAACTGTAGAAATCTGAATATGGAAGAATCAAATGAAAAAACAACATGAAAGGCTTACTGGCATCACGAAAATACGAAGGGTGTTTATTTAAAAATGCTCGACGACGTTGAATATTCGCAATAAAAAGTTGTTTTGCACGTTGTTTAAATGCAGGTTCTGATACATTAGCAGAGTGTGCGAAAATAGCCATGTACTCAAGAGGAAGACTCAGTTTATATAAACCCTGATTGAGCTTAGTTAGGAAGTGCGAACGCACTTGTGGGCATGGATCCTTGAATGGAAAAGAGTACGAAAAACATTAGTTGAAATTTGGTAGAAAATAAGTGGTAATAAACAAAAAATAGCATACTGACAAACTTCAACGATATTATAAAGTTCGTTGTAATATAGTCATCTAATTTAATAAGATTTTTATGAACTCAATCGGTACAACGAATTGGAAAGGATAGTCAATAAGTTTATTTATTTTAGTATGACACCGGGCGAATCTTCAGAGAAAAGATCACCGAGAGCACTTCTGTGACTACGTGTGTATATGCGGATTGAAATTCTTCAAGAAATCATAAGTAATGCGAAGGTTCTAAGTATCCCTAACTGGTAAGCGATAAAGATTGAAAAGCATAGATCTAGGGAATAATGACGTTGTTACCAAAACACACAGAATATACAACACATGCTCAAAATATTCAAACTTAAACATTATTAAACAACTAATGGTAAAAATCAAACAAAGATCTTTCTAGAAAAACTTACACAAAGTATATAGCTCATTGACAAATACCAGCCAATTTCAATACATTCAACATAAGCCTGAGAACGTGCAAGCTTTAACCAAGATGTAGCGGCAACTAAGCGCAGTCTTGACATTTCACCGTATCTAAGAGTAATACATATAAATGAACGGATGTGTATTGGCAACCGCAATTGTTGAAAGTGAAAAATTAACTACTTATTAGGTATAATTTTAATGCAATTCACAGAAGCATAACGTAATTACGTTGCCAGACATAAGACTCTTACAGCTTCAAAACAGAATAATGTATAATTCTGAAAATAAATATATGTGACCGAACAGCCGTAATAGAGGGATCAGGAAATATAGGAATTGCCTATCGTGAGGACTACCGTAGAGTTGCATTACTGAATTAATGTTGAAGTTATAAGACAGTAATCGATAGTGTGTAGAATTCAAACGATATCTTCAATGCAAGAAAACGTTGATGGTTTATATTGTCTTCATCTAGCTCCAAAATGAATTTGCAAGTTCGTATTCTCATTATACAGTATGGTGAAAATGAATACTCAGTTTTCTGCGGTGAACAACTAAAATACATTCATCTTAGAATCCACTCCAACTTTAGAATTTTAGAGTACTTGCGGACTATTTGTAAACGACAGGAACTCAATGATAATCGTATCTATTAACTTTGCATAACACTGGTTGAAAACGAAGCTAAATAAATTATTGGCATTATGTAAATTTAAATAAAATGTGTAAGATATGCAAGTAGACGGACATTTGTCAATTAAAGAATCTCTAAAACTGTCTGGAGTCTTTCTGGGGTTACTGACAGTCCCAAACCAGAATAAACGGGGTGGGGTGGGTATGAGGTGTTTAACAATCCAATCCCGTAGAGAAGAACTTTGCTAAAAATACGCTAAACAGAGGGACTCTAATCATGAAACTCCAATAGAAAGCAAATTTTTATCCATATTTTCGAGACAAAATAAAAAAGTGAAATAGAGATCTACTAATCCATAATTTTCAGCGCATCTAAATGTAATTAAATTCACTTCAATAATTTTGTAAATCTTCAGTATGGGGTTTAGGAGATCGTTGGATTTCATCGAAATCACAAATCGATCTAAGTCAGACCAATATTGAAAACCTGGAAGTACTAGACAGTATATTCGTCCTAGTATGGGACTCGAACCTAGAACTTTTCGTCTCGCGCACGAACCATTAAACTCTAAACTACTGAGCCGAGAGGACCAAATGAAATTTTGTAGATGGTTCATATTTTAGTACTTGAGACAATTATTCGATTTTAAAACTTACGATAATTTACCACCTTTGTTAAATCGCCATCATGAATGATTATACGATAAAGAAGTCGAATAATAACTTGAACAACAGGTTTCACTTCATTTTTCAAACCTACTAACCAATTTGTTATTAGTTTAATAGCTGAAATCTGAAAGATAGAATAGGATTAAATTGTTTTAACCTAATAAGAAAATAACTTGATTATAAACATATAATAATATTATTTAAACAAGTAAAATTTCAATCCAACAGTGAGGTTGACATTAAAAAGTATTATATTTTAACGTAAATTGAAATTCATATTTCTCATTACAAAACACAACAACTATCACTACATGGACAACCATTAATTAATGAACGAATTTTAGGTGAATAGTATTTTTGAAGCACTTTAATTATGATATTAAGTTGGGTACCATTTAACTTGAACAGACAAGATTCATTCTATATAGGAATAATAAGTTTTGCTACACTATACATTTGGTTTTACAAACGTACCTAGGAATATCATTGATGTTTAAAGCGATCAAAGTAGGTAAGTAGTACATAAACAGAAATATGTTAAGATTATGCAAACTAGCAGGGTTTTCTGAGTAGAAAATATCGAGTAATGCACAGTAGATGATATGTTTAATAGAATAAGATTGGAAAGATTTACGATTTACAAATGAATGTTTCCGTGTCAATAATTATCCTGCTAGATAACACAGAATAGATAACATGAATCTTCTCACTATCACTAAGTTTTCCCATAACAACTCATAGAAAACTAGAACATTAAAAAAATCCGGAGGAACAATACAAGTAATTATTAGATCATACTTTAAAAAATATGTCCAGAGAAATTAATCAACAAGTTTAAACAATCAACGATAATCAATATAGAATGAAGTATCCATTCCACTATATGTCACTAGGACTTGTATAAACATAATTTTTTAATGTGATTTATGAGTTACTGAAAATGGATTTCAATCAATTATACATAGATGTAGAAAACATAATAATAAAATTATTGTCTTTTAAGCATAATAACCCTAGATAATAAGAAACGGCAGACTGAAGATATATTTTGTAGTTAGAAAAAAATGATATTTTTTGTATTGTCCGTTCACTGTAAATCCGATGACCTTGAGGACAGGAGGGAAAATAAAACCAGACATGTTCATCATCTAATTAGTTAACTATAAATAAAACATATATGTATGTAAATTTATGATGACTCATTGCATGGATTGTATAGACTTCAATTGTAATCTGAGTGATTCACACAATTTTTGTCCGAACAAATGAATTTAGTTATGAAGTTGTCCTAGCTCAATATGAGAACATTGGAAATTCCTGTTTGATCGCAGAATTCAAGAATGCTACATTAGGCTAGGGGGTTAAAGACTAGGCACTTAGTTAATAGAGTTTCAGGTTCGAAAGCCATTCCATGTAATTTTATTTGATTAATCATAAAATAGTATAAACCCTCGTAAAAAAGATGAGGGTTGAAATTGAGTGAGTGAACCTGTAAGTGGGATACAATATTATACTTATGATTGATTTTGAAAATGAGAAGCTGATTGATCTTGGCTTGTTTAGTAGTAACTAAAGAAAGTTATGGGTCATATAAGAAATACTGGAAAGAACTCAGTAGTGTTTACCTTTGCTCTAGTTAAGTTACTGATTAAACTATCAGGTGACCAAGAACTAAGAGCATTGCATTCAGCTTTGGATTGATTAGACAAGTTCTTTGATGTCACACTGTTTATTGGCGTTTTGTCTTTTTCTTGTTCTTGATTTGGCAGATCATCTGGTTCAAATGTTAATACTTGTTGTACCAAAGATTTGTAATGAAAGTTTTAATATCTTCGTTGTATACATCAGGAAATAATAAAGCAATATGGCTTAATGAAGTGAGGCAGGATATGTAATCGTTAGATAAAATAGGGCATGAAATACAAACCTAATAGGAGAAAATTTAGAAGCAAAATAATATTAATAATTAGCAATGGAGTTTTTTTGTGTTAGAAGTGGCTAGTTTTGGTTAATAAACAATCCAACACAATATTATAGGTGGTCATTTAGGGTAACATCAACAATAAGGAACAGACCAATCATAAGACGTATTATGATGCAAATTATGAGATAACAACAGATACACTTCACAGTAATAACAAATGATTGATACAGAAACTTGAGGAGAAAAATGAACTAGTCAGTCGTCAAGTTTCTATAGAGAAAGACAAATTAAAAGGGAATTTTTTTCAGTAAGTAATACTAACTATCACATAATATATTTTATTTATAATCTTGTATACAACATTGTAAATCATTGTTGATTTGTAATCATTTCTGATCTGTTACCATTGTAACTGCTTCTCTAAAATGGAATATAATTTAAACTAGGCCTAAATTTTAAATTGTAATGTAACTAGAATGTTGTCAACAGTAATAACAGAAATTATTATAGAATTAGTGACAGTATGATACAATAATTTGTCAGAATGCTTGAATATGTGTTTATAATCTTTAGAAAAAAAGGAAATCTTGAATTCTCGTTAATTATCAATTTTCTAAATCAGAAATTTTCTTCATGTCATTCTGTATGTCATGCAGTAAAATTGATGATTAACTCTTAAAAATGACTTCAAAATAGAAAATAAGTGGATTTATCAAATTTAAAAGTTCATTTATTGTTTCTGATAGGTAATGAAGATTCAGAGTGAAGGCAAAATCATGCTTAAGATAAATCTTGAAGAATAAGTTTACGACAGTTGAATGTACACACTAACGAGAGAATACAAAACGTTGTAGTGGCTTAGCTTCATTAATCAATCATCTTGATAACCGTTATTATATAAATCCCAACAGTATTTGAAGTCAGAAGATGATAAGAAGCGGCGACTACAGTTTATTAGCGGATAGCGCGGATAAAAAAGCTACAAGCACATCGAGCGAATTTGAAGCAAAAAGGCGAATGTGTGTACGCGAGCAAATTTATAGTCAAATCGAATACAAGGCGCAGATAGGAAATGCAAAGGCTAATAATAAGATTCGAGTAAATATATACATGGGAAAGAGAGTGACTTATCGAGCGACATTTAAGCTAAAGCGAGATATGTGTATAGGCTGTCATGACATCAAGAGTACAAAGAAATAGACAAATTGTTACTGTTCGAATAATATTGCCTGTTAAGTAAGTTAACAAAATGACTTAACAAAATCTAACTATAATCGAAATTGACTATAAGAGAGAGTTGCTGTAACATATATGACAATCCTGTAGCTAAAACTATTCCAAACATAACATTAATTATTAGTGAGATGAGAAATATCATACGTAAAAATGTATTGAATTTTAAAAGGCTAGTATTAACCAAAATTATTAAAATAGGACAAGAAGGAAATTTCGCTCCCATTAAAAACCTGAAATAAACTCTTTTATCATTTCAACAATAAATAATGCAATTACTTAACCTGAACAATATCATTGAGAATTTCATTAATTTTAGATTTTAAAGTAGATAATCTTTCCAGTTCATCAGTTAAATCATCATTCACTGATATAGTAGATTCTTCATCCAAATCTATATTGTTTGCTTCAGATTTACTCTTTGAATTTAATAAATGACGTACAACGTTGCATAGACAAAACAAAATACGTATTGATAGCTTAGAACGACGACGTTCACGACGCCAAACAATACCACTATTCGAAACAGTATCTGTTATTAACTTGGGTGAAGGAATTTTTACTCCATGTTTTGTTGTTTTTCGATTATCTAAATATTGGAATTATACGAGAAAAGAAAAACAACTATCAAATTTAAGTTCAATCATTGATGAACATTATAACAATTATTTCCTCAATAACTAAGGAGAAAATCATGAGCTAATAAATTGAAATAAAGAAGTCAAATTTTTTTGAGAAAAAAAACTAATCAGGAAGGATAACACGTCTTTCGCATTGATTAAACAGCAAATAAAATTTCACTAGATTTACTTTTTATAGACTTTTCTGCAGTTTCTCTATTTTGACATGATTCCAGAGAAATGGGAACAATTCCTGTACAGCAAAAACGACGTAAAATTGGTAATAATTCTTCTGAACGTTCAGTTAACTGAGTATAAATACTAAGATTTTGTTTGTCAGCAATATTTTGAAGAGGCTCAGTTAGGTCATTGTTACTAAATGCTCCACTTGGACCCCCACCAAGTACACAACATAGGATCTACAAAATTTTTTTTTAAAAAATATCATTAAGCATGGAAATATGAAGTTGTAACAGAAAGATGATACTTTCTTATTGACTAAATAGTTGATATTTGACCGCAGAATTGTTAGACGAAAACCAAATGTTTCGTATCACGTTAGTAACAGTTTTAATAAGAAAACTGCTCAGATATCAGAATTATTGTAGAGTAAGATTATTCAGAGGAATAAAATAATAATATACTCTTGACTGATTGGAAATTAACCTGGTATCAAACTTCAGTATTGTGAAAAGAGCATGGTTTGAGATTCATTTCCCTTATAAAATGAGTATCTATTTCAGTTCGTGTATCTTTTAGCAAAACACTATACAGCAATTAAGAAAAAGTAATTGGTTTAGTGCCAATAAAACTACATCAAATGATATTTTTTATAGATTATAGATTTTCAAAACCTCTGGGATGTTACCTTATTTCTGAACGCATTGATTCTTACCAGTTTCACTACTTGGCCATGGTAACAACAGATCAGATCAACTGTTATGTCCTAGCTAAACCTCACTTTCATAGAACTTTGGGTACACTGCTTCGTTTCATTCTAATGTTCCTTTTCGACAGAGAACTGTTAAATAAGTAACGAGTTGTAACCAGATCAAAAAAATTAAAACGTGTGATAAAACCATCACATTGTCAGAATTTTCGTGAAACTTTAGGAGATTTACAATTGTCACTTAAAAACAACTGGGAAGGTGTACAGTCAAATTCTAAAGTATCAAACTTCAGGTTTGACATAATTGTAGACACATTGGACTCACTATCAAATAAACGAAATGGATGTATGCTGAGTTATGGACTATGTGAAAAATTAGATGACAGTTATCTGACCTTAAAAAACTTACATGCTTCACTCTAGAATTAGGCTGGATGTAAATTCGGTTTCGTTTATGAATGCCATTTGGAATCCCTTTACAGTATATTAATAGTTTTATTTCTAAATAATTTGTGTAATCCTATGTAGGACTCATTGAATGATAAGTAGTAAGTGGTTTCAGGTTCATACCATAAAAAGTCATTTAACTATATTATACTGAAACACTGTAGTTTTTTAATACATTATTATCATTATTAATTTAAAAAGTCTACATCATAATTTCTTAATGGTTAACAATGTTAACAATGGTTAACAAAGTTACACTGAAACAGATATGTTTTAAGAATCACTTATTGCAATCTTTAATATTTATCTAAATATTATTCAGCTGTATAATGAGAATGTATGTTAACACTGTTTGAATTAACGACAGTAATAACTTAAAATTAGATTTTCACATGTAACCTCAATTCCAATTATTGGGTAATAATATGCCTGAAGTGATATTTTCAAATAAAATGTACTTGGTGAAAATCATGTATGTCAAGACTTACTGAATAATACATAATGAACTTATGTTTTTTTCTCTCCAAAAACATCGAGTTCAATACCGACAAAATAATCATTAAAAAATATATAACTGCATATCAGATGATAATAAGGACTGAATGGAATAAAGGTTTACGAAATATTATGTCTTCTTACTTACACTTAAAGCCATTTCTTGTAATGTATACGAATCGTCATAAGAATTTGAATTAGCTGACGATGATACATTTTCATCATTATCATCATTAAGCACTGACAAGTTTTCATCAGATAAAATACAGAGTAGGTAATCCATAACCTTATTTAAAGGTAGTATTTCCTGAAGTTAATTAGATTTCGATGCAAAAAAAATATAATAAACAGTTGTGAATTAAAATGATAGGAATCGTAGTGATAATAATGAAATAATTATATAGGGAAAAAGGTGATAACTAAAATAAAAATGGACAACTAGGTTGCCATCAGACAAGGTAGTTTATGATTGATCCATACTAATGATATATGGTTTGCATGACTATTTCCACGGATTGCTGTTAGCGGGACATAGACTAGATTAAAGCATGCTCAATGCATGATTGCTTTGCTGCACGCTGATTGGCTGATTCTTATCCAATCAGCACCAGTCGATAGTCGGAGAATATTCTGGAATCTTCTTATGTAAAAAACTATAAATATACTGACGTTTTTCCCTATTATGCTTCTGACTTGCTGTTTGGAATATAATCTCTTTCCTGTTCAACCGTGTTCTGATTTGGGGTCTTGTCGAGTGAATCGGTGTCCAAGGATACTAAGCAATAGGAATAGCTGGGTCATAACCGTTAAGAAAAGAGCGATTTATAACAATTGCACAGTTCATTAAGAAGCTACCTAACTTAGTATCTCAAATAATCAAGAGAAAATAATTCATTTCTTTCTTATAAAGAGATTACTATACAATACAGATTATACTACGCAAATTGCCGGAGCCATGTAATTTAATTTCAAATCAATAAAATATTTTAACGCTGAGGTTATAGCTTGGTGGACTAGCAACTCAGCTCTGAATCAATTGAGAACGGACTCCAATAGTTTTATTCCTTTATCAGTTGAGAGATAAAGGTACAACCACGTCTGCGCGGGAAGAGGGTCCCAACCCTAGAACGTACAAATGTATTACACTTATAATTCAACATTGTTTTTATCATACGAGATAAATGAAAATGTTTATTTTAGAGGCAAATCTATTACTCAGTAACCAAGCCCTAAGTACAACAAAAAACACTGTACTACTGTTTTATGTAGGTCTAAATCGATAAAGTTAATACAAAGGGGAGGAACTTTATGAAAATCAGTACAATTAAAACAACGACCATGGATGATTTTGATAAGCCAATAAGTTTATAAACCAACTTTAACGCTTAATGTGGAAAATCCACTACATAACAATTAGGGAAGAAGTTTCTCGAGAATATACTGTTAAATTGAATAAAAGATTATATCTAGTCGCTAATTTCCCAATAACTCCATTATTATTTTCTTAATTGATGTTAAAACATTTTCCTAATAGTCTCGAAACCAACTACGCATTCAGAAAGTCGACAACGCATAATTTTACTAAAAGTGAATAATCAACTCACTTTAAAATAAACGGACACTGCAAGTAATAAACGTAGTGAACGTGTCACATTCATACGTCCAGCAGTTCCAGATAAGCAACCAGTTTTCTTGATGATATATAGCTGATTGACTAATTCCACGCCAAAATTACGATCAAAAAGAACAGGTGCACATCGTTCCAGTAAAATCTTTACAACACGTGCGTAGTTTGTTTGGTTATCATTGACACTATTGGGATTTTCTGCTGCCGTCCCTATTTTTTTTAATATATCTCTCTAAAAAAAAACAGGATCAGGAATATAAGACAAGCAGTGATTTGTCAAAAATTGAAACCCTATGCGGGTAACAGTTTGACTTACTTAATATATGTGTAACATAAATATTGATAATCAGAACGATAAATACTTACTAACGCTGATGTTGCCTGAGAACAAGCGGTTTGTGGCTTAGTCAGTTTAACTAAATGATTCCATAGTGTTTTATCTGTATGAACTTGATTGAAGAAACGTTTCAGATGTTCAACTGACTTTTCTGATTTCGGTATTAAAACTTTGACGGAGAAAAAAAAGGATATAGAGATTAAAAAATTGATAGAAAGTAAAGACTGATATTGGTTTTATGAACCTACAGTATTAAAAAAATACTTACACTGACATTAAACACATGATAAAGTATATGGCGTTTGAAATCTTTACAACAAGATTTGCGGGTAACTACATATTTTGAAAACATTATTGACGTACATGGTTAGTCAACTGGAATAAATGTTTAGAAACCCTAGGTAATACAATAGATTAAAAATATATTTGAAGATCGAAGACAGAATCTTCTTTGATCTCGCAATATTATAAGTTACAACCCATAAATTCAACGAATGAAGCCCAAAGTGAAGAAAGAATAGCGGCAAGAAAATCAACATGATAAGGATTTCTAAGTCAACTGAACTAAATACAATTGGATGATCTTTAATGGATCGTAAAAACAGTAAGTCGTTTGGCATTTTCTTCATTTATCCTATGATTGTTGTCTGCTCTTGAATATTATTAGCATAAAGTTAGGACGGTTTGTCGTGAAATTCGAGGAAATCAGCTCTAGACTGAATACATTTAGAGAGGGCTACTCAAACCGAAGTAGGTGGGGATAATATAGAACTAACTAGACAACTAACGAGAGATGGCAATTAACCTTTGATTGTCTGGTATCATAAAGAATTTGCCGTAGACTGTTGAAGACAAAGTTAGTAATCTACCTATATGATTGAAGGAATCCAAGGGATCAAATTTTTTTTAACAGAAACAGTCTATAAATGATGACTTTTATATATAATATGAAATGAGATAAACCGAAAGATGGACCATTACAATGATCATGGACAGTAGCTTAATGTAAAATCTGGAGAATCACTAAGCATCTGAAATCTATAAGTGTAGCTAAACTAATAAAAACATAAGAGATTGTTTCGAAAATGGTGATAATCTAATATATGAAAATTGAGACGGATCAACGACAAACTCATAGAGCAAGTTACTCAAACTGTGAACAGAATATTGTAAATAATTGGAATGACTTAGCAATTTCGCGGTTGCTGATAACTTAAATACTAGCAGGTAAAATAATCACACTTGTTTAAACATGAAATTAAACTGCAACATAATTTATATAAAATCATGAACGCAAGTGATACAGGTACTATTTTTATCGTTTATACATTGATATTCATTCAAGCATATGGACCTTCAGGTTATTTTCAGACTCATTATCAAAAATAAGTTCAAGAAAAAACGAATGTTAACTTTCTTAGTATTTGCCATTTGAATGAGGGAAAACACCACGCTTATAAATACTAATTTAGGGAGTATAGCTTATGAAACCATCATAATACTGAACGTAACTGCTATATCGTTTGTACGTTCAAAGTAAGAAAAAAAACATTCCTACGGGTAATAATGTCTTTTCTTTGAACACTATTTGTGATGTCATAAATCCGGTAGTAAATTTATAGAGGAATGACAATGTAAGATAATTCAGTTCATTTAAATTATTGATCTAAGGAAATAGATGCAGATAGTCGTATACTTTTATTTTCAGTTATGATTGTGCAAAACATTCAAAATGACTGAAATCTTATATAAGGATTCCGATAGGAATGTTGCCTTCAATATGAATTATGTAAATAAAATAACAAATGAATTTATAAAACGAAACCCATATTTGAAGGAAAATCGTACAAAATAAGAAAACATTTCTGGATACTTACTGCTAAGATGCTGTATGACACTCATTATTTCAGTATTAACTTCGGAAGGAATTTTCGCATCACGGTGGTCAGTTAACAACTTGACAACATCACGAAGAAGTTTGAGGGCACTAATAAAAAGATATTTTAAAATGTTCAGATCGTTACTGACAAACAACAAGGTGATTTAGAAGTGAGTTGATAATATAGCGGATTTACTCTCCTAGTACTAAAATGTATTCCCAAAAATAATCATAAACGAAGGCATCCATTCAAGTCAGCTGAGAGTTCTGAATCAGATTAGTGACTGTGGTGACAACCGGTAAAGCAAAATAGAACTTAATAGAATATTTCTTTCAAAATGTCAGCATATTGGGGAATTGGCTAGTTTTTGCAGGTCATTTTATAAGGGATTTATCACTTTTTTTTACGTCAGTTGATTTCGGCTGTGATATCTGAAGGTCGCTGTGGATCATGTGGTTCCTGGAATTTTTCTATTAGAGTAGCTCAAACTACGGGAAATGAAGATTTCCCATTGTCCTATTCCTTCGTTGTTTATTTGGTTACAAGTGAAGCCCGCAAACTATTTGTACTAGAATACCCACCATTCTGAGACACATAACACAAATAAAATACTATGTATTAATGAGCACCATAAAATATCATGGGAATAAACCCAAAAAATTTGTAACACAATATTTTATAAATAACATAATAATCTAAACCTCAACAGGATTCCTAAAATACGCTGGTAGACTTACACATATTGGGTCTTAAAAATTTCCTGCATAGCTTTGATTGAAGCTTCATCCATCAAACTGTAACAGCGGAATAAGGCTTGCACACGGACAGCATTTTCAAAATTGTACGGAATGATTGAACTCTTTAATAACCGTTCAACGATAAGCCTATAAAGCAATTATTGAAAAAAGGATATCTTAAAATGAAGAAAAAACCGAATGACCAGATCTGAAGTTTTTAAAAGATTAATAAGAAGCCGAACAGTTCTTTTTATTGCCAAACCTCCTAGCGTCCTGTAATGACAATACTACTACTAAAATATCAAATAATTTTCACTGAGGAACTTTGCAATATTTGTCTGTTACTGCAAAATAACCAACAGTTATCTATGAAATCCACAGCGAGATATTTTGTTGTTCTTAATCTACTGACTACAAAACATCTAAGATCAGCAAGAAAAAAATACACCAAAAACTTAGTCGTAGTCTATGGGATGTCGACAGGTAGCTGGTAAATTTAAATAATCACTATAATCAACAAACTAAATGTTCTTATAAAAATTATACGACAAAAACAAAACTATAGTGGAGTGAAATTGGAAAGTACTCTTTGGGATGGCTCGTATAAATCATAAAATTCAACGGGCATACGCAAAACCATTGTGTGATCATTGGGATCCAGGCCTTAGAAATGAGCTAAAGATATGGTTGGCATATTCGAACAACAAAAGTTTCAAAAGAGAAGAACAAAGCTATGTCTAACATATATTGAAGTGCTAAATACCTAGTTTATACAAAGGAATGATAACTAAAATCTGGACACTACAATATTAGAATCAAAAAGACCCATATGAGCCAAACACTTTGCATTTCAATTAGTATACAAGAAGCTGAACTAGCAGAATCAAACACAGATACACTAACCCGTACACCTGGATTACTAGTTTGCGTGGGATCAGAGAAGCAATGAGATGAAGTGTAACAGAAAGACGTACCCTTCAATTGGGAATATCATAAACACCGAGGTCAAAGTAATAAGGAAACCTACTAATAACTGCGAATAAAATAGTAAAACAATGATCTATGTTGGGACTAATCAGATTTAGGATAACGAATCTCAAGTTTTGGCGAGAAATTTATTATTTCATATAGCTAAATAGCGTTTTGGCACTATAGCTGATGTCAATTCGTGGTGATAACCTTAACTTTTAACTTTGAGTCCCAATTCTGATTACTCACACTAGACCCCAGTAAGTAGGTGGATTTTCCTAAGGTAACATTGGTGTCACTCAAAGGTTGTTCATAAACTGGTCTCACCAATGAAATGAATTACTACACTAACTCCCAAGGATCTCTCTTAAACCTGAGTCCGTCAATCAACATGTGGTAACGAGTCGCTGCATATAAATAAATATCATACGATAAGGACCCGATAAATAATAGCATACCAAAAATCTCAGTTTGAACTATAGGAAACGTAAGATTGTATTTTCCCGAAAACACATTGGATAATCGATAAATAAACAATGCCTCAGTTGATGGTTACATCCGAAAGATGTCCCATATTAAGAACAAAAATATTCAAAACTTATAGGAACTCAAAATATGTCTGAAACTAACTTGTCATCAGTTGAGTTTTGATAGTACAAGTGCAAAATTGTATTTAGAGCGGAAGCTGACTTTGTAGCAGATAACCAACCCGACTGCAAACCACCTTTATACAACGAAGCTAAAGCGGAAGAAGCTTCTTTACGAATAGACAGGGTCTTGTCTCGAGAACGCTCCTTTAACAATTCGAATGCATCATCGCTAACTTCACTTTCAGATTGTTTAATAAGACCAGTCATTGTTTTTAAAGCTAAAAGTCGGACTTCTATGAATTAAAAAAAACGTTATGAAAACATTATGCTACTATTAAAACAAATAATTGGCAGGGTTAGAAATATACTAGATTCTTAACTATAAAAAAGTAACAATAAGAGGTATGAATCCACATGTATGGAGTGTCGGACTCCCGATTATACATGTGAATTTCAAAAACTAGGTTACAGATGTGGACTTTCTTTGACTGACTTAGGCTTGAGCAGTCAGTTTAAGGAGTATGATGTGTTGAAATATAAAAAGAAGCGTAAAAGCCCGTGCCTACGAATCCTAAGTTTTTTGTGATATAAAATTAACTACACAGAATACATTCTTGATGACATATACAGAAATCCTGAATGACATTATTACAACTCACTACTTAAAAATGATTTCGCGACTACCGTAACCAATGGTTGGAGACTATATGACATGGCGCGGAATCGGTCACAATGGCGTAGGTATATACACCCTTTGTTTTCCCTCAAACCGTGAGAATAAAAATACTTTATACCTCTCATTCTACAAACTAATTCCTTCTCCCTGTATTATATATGTAATCTTTTTTTATATATTACTACCATTAAAGTAACTACTTCTATGAATTTGGTGTTCATCTTGTGCTAATGAAGTGCTGCAACTTGGATCGATGCACATATGTGCCTGGTCCTACATTGTAGCTGACTGATTGACTTTACATGCTTTCGATGCAGCATATTTGTAAGGACAAAAAAGTTTACGAGTTCGAAAAGTTATTCACTAGCTACTGACTTTCGCATCTAGCAGTCAATGAATAGACTCATATGTCAACACTTAATGATAGCTGATTCCGTAGATCCGCTGCCTTACTTGAGATATCCTTGTAGTTGGAGCAGGGACATGTTAGTTAGCCAGTTTCTTATCAAATGAACATTTGCAGAATCAAATATTTCAGGCAATAATCATTTACTTAAGACACTTAAATGTTCGGAATGAAGCAACCAGGTGAAATACGATAAGATTACTTCCCTTAAACCTTATATAAGAACTTAATTACATTCAGCCATAAAGTGATAAAACTAACCTTCATCGGGATCATAAATACGCTGTTGAAAATTTGTCAGCAACTGTTCATGAAGCAAATCCCGGTTTTGTTTTAAAAGCTGAGGCAACATGTGAATACATAACTTGCGGACTTCACTATCAATGTCATTGAAGCGCCCCAGGAATGCATCCCAAAGACTTGGATTTCTCCTGTGAAGTAAAGAATTCTTAAATGTTTAATATAAAAAAGACGTAAATACATACCGGTTCAGAAAATAAGCGTGCTAATAATCTGAAAGATCGTTTACGCTCACGTACAATAGGCGACTTTAACTTTAACTCAATAGTCGGAAGGACTGGAGCTACTATACTGCTTTGTATTGTGTGCAAAGCGTATATGATGAGAAATGCGTGCTCTCCAAGTAGGTCAGGACTTCCCTCATCATCTTTGGATTCATTCACATCAGATATTCCCTCACTGCTGTCTTCCAAAGCCTCTTCAGGAGGACGGACGGGTTTACCTTCAGCTTTCATTTGGGTTTCATTACATTTACCTACAATTAGGGAGTTTTGTAATAACTTGTCACTAGGAAATACTAGATAATTAACTTACCATTTGAATTCGGTATTCCAGCTGATCAGCAGTCCTTATTATTAAGTCTCGAGCGAATGTATGCTGAGCTGGTTGAGTACTTTTTGCAGGTTCTATTAGATACTGAAGTATAAAAGTGACTAGGTCAGAAGACAGGAATTTCTCAGACTGGATGATAACCTTCACAGCCATATCTAAAATCATCTGGCGAACGATGGAATTATCAGTCCAAGACCAGACATCAAGGTTTCTACCACTATTATTTCGTAAAATGAATCATACTTAACAATAGCAAAAACCATTTTGACAAAGCCAAATAAAACAGATTCATCTTCCAAAAACGAACACCACATGAAGACATCAATTTGAGCACAGATCTAAGTAGGGACGTTATGAGATTTTACAACGTACATAAATCATTGTATGAAGTTTAATATATACAGCATCGGTTTTCGTCTTCACGTTTGAAAGTAATCCAATACAATCAATTAAAAAATATAGGATTTCCTAGAAACTTAGTTTAAGAAGTGAACAGTACTTTTGTAAGGACTTTTTCTTCTGATAAACCAGAAAGAGGGTTGCATGGGCAAAATATTTTAAGTAGCTTGCAAATACATACACCGACTCGTAATTGAATATCTCTATCTGCATTTTTCAGGAACTCCGGTGATCCAAGCAAAAGAAATAGTCCCTTATATTTCGTATGGTCCTGTGAAAGCGATAATCTCTCTCCATCCAGTGAAGTTTCAGTTGATTTTCCTTCTTCCTCGATAACATTGTCTAGTGCGTTACATAGCTCCTGAAGAATAATAATGAGTATAATGCATACAGTCAGGCGTCTTCTTAATTCTTCTTTCGACAAATCATCATTTATGGGCTTACAATTAGGTGGATAAATTAACTCTAGACCTATAGATGGCATTTAACAAATAAAGTAATGGGGATCAACCCGCCAAAACAAAACGAATTGGATTTTCGCCAAACCCTAAAGTTAGAAAAACAAATAGAAAACAGTAAGTTTTCGATCGATTTTTCACATGTATATTTTGATGAAGACTTAGGTGTCTGACGATTAAAAAATATTTTTAGCATCAACTTCTATATTTTTATGTGATGTGGTGCAGTGTTGCTGGAACAGTTTTTGGATAAAACTACTAGTTTTTTATATCACGAAACTTTTGCAATTTTAACTTGCACACCTCCTTAAAGGGCTATTTTGAGGCTCATAAATGAAATTGTTTTTCATGTATACATGTGTCAAATATCATAATCACATTTTGTTCCTTCATATTCAGGTTTGTGTAGTAAGGACAGAGGACCTGTGGTGTAAGTTATTTCTCTTCTAGTATGCTTCTGTGAGTGTTCAGTCTTCTTTTGAATGAGTTTATTGAAGGTATGGACACCACTGCTTCGGGTAACAGATTCCAATAAGTGACGACTCGGTGTGAAAACCTGTATGCCGCGGGTATTTTATTCGTTTTTGACTTTTCTATTAGTCTGCGATAGGACAGAGTATAAAGGTCTAGCTTTCCAAGCCGCTCTTCGTATGGTAAACGTTGGAGTTCTGTAATTGCGCTCTATAGCTGCCCTTTGTACTTTTTTCAGGATATCCGAATCATCTTTCAAACAGGGGCTTGAAGCCTGAACGCAGTTGTTCTCAAGATTAGTTCTCACCAACGTTGTATGTACTGTAGTGAACATGGTAGTATCTAACCTAGTGAACGTCGATCTTAAAGCCCATAGAGTTCTAAATACCTTCCTCTGCCTATTAATTTTTGTATCCGAAGAGTGTATGTGGACACACTTTGCCGCGTTGATAGGCATCAGTCACTCTTTAGACCGGTTAACCACACTATTTTAGTCTGCCCGAAGTGCACATGCATCTGCGTCTCCCGTTATTCCTCACCAGACTTTTACATCGTCAGCGTATAATAACACTGAGACTGCGCTATACTTGAGAGACCACTTACATACAGTAAAAAAGGACCTATGACAGAACCTTGTAGTACTCAACTACGTACTGGTCTCTAGGTGGAGCACTTCGAATTTATTCTTACTTCCTGTCTACGACCTTAAGCCATCCTTAAGCCATTTTAAGACAGGTCCGGTAATGCCAAGATTTTCTATTTCAGTAGCAGTCTATTTGTTGGTACCTTGTCAAATGCTTTGCTGAAGTCTGTGTACACAACAGCTACTGAGCTTCCGTTGTCTAGCGCCTTTATCCAATGCTCTCTTGTTATAAGGAGGTATGTTGTTCAAGATAAACCCTTTCTGAAACCATACTGTTTGCTAATTAATAAGTTATCAGAAGGGGTTTGTGGAGATTTAATAAGTTGTTGGTTTCCAGAAATGTCATTGTGGTCATGTTGACCATTCTTTCCAGTATTTTGACTACGACACTGGTGAGCCTGCTGACAGGTCTGTAGTTCGGTGGACGTTGTCTTGGTCCTGTTTTATGTATTAGAGTGACGATTGCATCCTTCCAGTCCGTGGATAACACACCTTGTTCAGGCGACATATTTAATATCACAGTCAGTGTGGTTGCGATATATTGTGCAATATGTCTCAGGATGTTGAGGTGTAGTTCATCCGGTCCTGTTGACTTTTCCGTGTCTAGGGTGCTAAGAGCCCTAAGTACATCGTCTCGATCAAAATCCATGATGTGCAGACGGTTTTCCGAATTTGTATTTGGACCTATTTCTTCATATAAAAGAGGCTCTTGAGTGAAAACTGCCAAAATGTTGCTTGCCATAGCCTCGGCTCTTTCCCGATCTTCCTCTATTATTTCAGATCCACTCCCTTCGTTAATTAGTTTGAAAATCCAATGCTGCACCTGTGTTCTGTAATTTACGTACGAGAATATCCTCTTAGGCTGCTTGAAAGTAGATTGTGCTAAGTACATTTCAAATTTTCTCTGAGCTTCCCGGGTTTTAATTATACACTTTTTCATACCAACTTGTGACGTTCCATCGTACTTACCGTGCCGAGGCTGATGGCAACATGCCAGCATTTCTGCTTTTGTCTTGGTAAACGTCGAATATCCCGGCCTGTCCAGGGACAGCCGTGCTTCTTCGTTTTTAGGACTGTCCAGGGTATATATGGTTGAGTTACCCGAATGTATAATTGCCTTAATGAGTCCATGCCTCTTCTACTGATGCCCCTGAGTCAATTATCCAGTTTTCAGCCGATGCTACAGAGTCTATCGCCTCCATGTCTGCGCTCCATATGTCAGAACGGCCGGCGCAACTGTTTGACAGGCCAACTCAGTCATAAACTTCAACTAGATGATTGCATGATCGCTTCCTCCTAGCGGTGGAAGGAAAGTCACTTGACCGACGTCATCACCATGTGTGAAGACTAAATCCAAAAGAGAAAAGGAGCTTGCAAATCATATCTGGTGGGATCTCTAATGTGTTAGAATAAAGCTAATGCAATTGAGGTTTCTAACAGTTTGCAATCGAATGACGTTGTCGATGACACTACTTCTAAGTTTATCTAGTTTATATAAGGTGCATTAAAGTCGCCTACTATAAGGCTTTTATACATATTACACCAAGACTTAAGTTTGTTTATGAGGAAGCCATCTACTACACATTCTGGAACGAGATATACTACGACTAATTCAACATCTTGCTGTCTGCATTTCAGCCTGCAGCGAACCAGTTCACATGTCCATGAATCAAGTGTCACTGTCTCAACTGCTCGTACAGTTAGGGTACTTTTCGTGTACAGGATAACACCACCTCCCCTATGGTTTAATCTATCAGCCCTACTGGATAAAAGACCAGTCAATTGAATTTCATTATCGAACACTTCTGACATTAACCATGTTTCTGAGGCAACAATAACGTCTAGTTTTTCTATATCCACCATTATCTTGTTTAGTAGGCTGCGAGCATTTGTGTAGCACACCTGAAATCTTGGAGAGAACTTTTCATTACCAATCAGGCTGGACTGGGGATCGTTTTGCTCCGAATGCTTACAATTTGAAAACTCTTAAGTACGAGGTTTCTTACGCCGATTCGGCGGCGCTCATTTATTTCTACTTCTGAAGTTCGTCCCTTAATACGGCCAACCAGACTGAGATTCTCACGGACGTATATTCTGGATCCAATCAGTTTGCGTGAGTTTCCCAGGATCAGACTTCCTTCTTTAACCACAGCAAAGGTGACCTTCAGGAGGAGGTTCTCTGGATACTTTCAGAATCCACCTTTTGTCCTATCCTATAGAGCTTACAGATGTTAATTTCTAAAAGTGCCTCTGGGAGTAGCTGCTTATTAGGGACTTAATGTGACTGAGGTCGTACTCAAATCAAGCCCTTGGTTCCTTTTCGGAAAATTCTCTTAACTTATGGCTTATGGAATTTTAATTCCTAAAATCATCTCTTCCCTGCAATCCGGTTCAAATTTAGCGCCAAACACAGAGGTCACATTCTGTTTACTCATTTATTTCTTCCTAGATGTGACTGTGAGCCACTCAATCACCTTATTTCGTCTCCGAAACACATTCTCTACACCGCTCAGATTTCGATCCCCCATAGTTTGTTTTGCGTTGATATGTGAATCCGGAAATGAAATAGTAGATTTACATACTTTGGTACTGTCCATAGGTAGTTTCTTCTTAGAGCGCTTTTTCTTTTTCCTTGTGACAATGGGGTCCACCTTTATGGTCTCATTCAAATCCAGAACTGGGCTCATGATTACGTTCTGCAGAATTCTGCTCATCTACCATTGTTTATTTGTCTGAAGGCAATTTTCTAGCTATGCTCAGCAGCTCGATCGCCTCTAGAATCAGCATAGGTGTTACTGAACAACATTCTTTGCACAGCCAACATGATAATGGCTTGCTGCAACTTTATATGCTGCTGGTGGGAGTCCGTTGCATACATCGTGATACCACTCATTGCAGTTGTCACATTGTGTCCCATCATCGACTGGGAGAGGGCATGCACGTGTTCCATAACGATGTTTTACTTGCGCCATAAATTCGTTTTGTTATCTCGCAGCGAAAGCTGATAATGTTTCTTTTAAAGCTTGATAAGTGATAGCCACTGAACACAAACAAAACAGAGATTTGTGTATAACTGTACCTAACAACATTTAAAAACTGACTTTATTAGTTACAAAATAGCTTAACACCTATGGACACAAACAATGCTGAAAGATACACTCAACGATGATGAAAACAAGACAAATCGAGGAACAAAAGAATACTGTGTGTAGAATCCAAACGATAGTTTGGATAGAGGAATAGACGTCCAGGTACGTTAGACACGCTCCCTTTCCCGTCGAAATCAAAACAAGTAATCGGGTAAATAGCGGTCCTATAATTCATCATAAATTTGAATGTAAATCGTTACCTAAACAAATATTACCACCCGGCTGTTCAACCAATAATTTTTCAATCAATAAAATCTAAATTACAATAAATAAAGAAGTTGATAAAAGATGAGGGAAAATTACCAGTCACAACAAATGAACGTTATTCTATCCTGACTGGATAGAACACACACACAAAAGGAGGAGCAAATCAATATGGCTACCGCCAAGAACAAGTGTCAAGTAAATCAACACTGATGCAGTTCGGGAAGAAACACAAACTTAGTGAATGCGTACGAAAAACAAAGACTATAATAAAAATACAAGTATTAACAATTCAAACGTAATCAAAAGACAACAATGTACAACTAAGGGGATCAATAAGAACAAAGCACAAGTATATACATAGAGGAATTTTCACCAACACACAAACACACTCAAAATGGATCTTACACTGTGAACAAAATCTTCCAGAACTTTTAACTGTTCGAAATAGGTATGTTTTAACTAGCAGTCGAGTTTGTATGTGAAACTACGACTTATTGACGACTTTTGAGCAGCGCTAAAATGACCTTAAAATGTTCATCTACTGGGGTTAAATGAG